CCTTTAATTCTCCAGCTGCCTATTGGTGAGACGGTTGAATTAGAGATATGACTGAAAGCCTTATCTTGATGAATCTATACCCTGTTGGCCTCGTTTCTAGAAGAAGATCTTTCTTGATTGTGTTTTATATTGTTGCTTGGGACGTGTGGATGTCTTTTGTTACTGTATTTTGTGTTCATGGATTCTCACCTTACTTACCACACTTTACTTACCATGGATGGGTACGACTTGTTGCAGGTCTCTTTTGGATGGTCCTGATATCCCAAGTTCGTCCATATTCCTTTGTTTTCTAATGCCATTAAACACAAACGATATCCTCTTCTTGGAAATTCTGAATTCCCGATCTAACACATCTTTATGATCTGAGTGTATAAATATTTTGCATGTTATATGCCCTTCCCAAAAGCGATAAATTTTCCGGGGTATCACACTACCTAAGTAAAACCAAACATAGTCAAAATATTGTTTTGATACATTCCATCTCTTTGCGGCATTTTATCAGCTAAAGTTAACAAGTGACTTTGTGATTTGAATCCTATAGTCATAACTCGATTCCAATTGTATAAGCAAATGCTCGTTTTAGTTAAAAAAAAGCTATCCTATAAAACACTTGATTCAGTACTTAAACACCGCTTTATATAGCCAATCAGATCTTTTAAATAATTTATTGTACTTATTGTGAATTCCAGTTTAAAGTTATAACAGCGATAATTTCATTTCTTATGAAAGGAAAGTATTATGAATTTTAACCATGTTCGTTAAATAAAAAGTGTATACTATATAGTTTAAGACGTTTGAAGTCGTTTGAACATTTACATAATTATAAATACTAAAGTTTATTTTTTCGTCTTTATGTTACCTAATTACATAAATGTTAGCGCATTACGAGAGATTGTCAAAACTAGAGACAGAAAATAGTGAGGTATGGGAGAACCGTATCTGATTTAACCATGAGAACATTAAAGAAAAATACATGTCAATGAAACTAATATGAAATCGATTTAAGTTCGTTGATTAACATCGCTTCTTGAAGTACAATGTCGTGTTTTATGTGTATATATCTATAATTCAGAAAATTTACATCTTACAATTTTTGGCAATGCTGTTATATTCTGTTGCAACAACTCATTAGACAAAGTTAGTATTCAAAGCATGTTAACCAGACTTTGAATACTAAGAAGTGCAAGATCACGAATCACTAAAATATAAGGAAAACTTATAATCATCAGCACATCCACAATTTAGACATGCCATTTATCAATATGCTTATTTAGTATTTTCTTATTACTTTTAATGTTTTTTTTATTAATAAAAATTAATTATCAGTATATTAGTTTAGCTGTTGTGCACTTATTTCTTTTTGTTAAATCTTAGACAAGATTTGCAGTCAAACTGTCAAAAAGTGCTTCGTGATAAAGTGTCGTTTAAGAAAACTATATATATATTTTTTCTATTTTTTGGCACATATAGGCCTATCAATGTCACATTTTGACTAGCCAAACGACTCGTAATAATCCTGAAGGAAATGAAGGTCTCTATAATTAAAACTTTGTTGTTGCAAAAACTAGTATATCTGATACTGATAATCTTCGGTTTGTACGCAAACAACGTTTCATAAATACACCCAGGCTTCCTGCAATAGATACCTTAAAATAAGTATCTTGGCAATCTTGCATTACGTGTAACAGAGAATCGTTCGAACAGTAATCAGAATGATAAAAACGTCTAGATACTCATAAGATCATACAAGAAGCATGAGGGTCGAAACAGCCTCCATCATAGAAATGTAGTATTGTTTGTTTGTTTCTAATTAAACGCAAAGCTACACTATGGGATATCTGTGCTCTGCCCACCACGGATATCGAAAAACGGATTCTAGCGTTGTAAGTCCGCAGACATATCGCTGTGCCACTGGGGTGTAGAAATGTAGTGGAAATTGGGTGTACAGTAATAATAATTCTTACAGGAAGTGTTTACTTGGTACCTCAAGAGTTAACACTTTCTATTTCGATGACGAGGAACCCACTTTGAGACCTGATGATGACAAAACCTTGTCGAAACGTTGTACATTTACTGTTATGTTAAACTCATATTAAAGTTTTTCTTCATTACCCATCCAAGCCGTCTCCAACCATTATTAACACTTTCTATCCTTTTTGAAACACATAATCTGAAAACAGCGAATTTAGAACGAAAGTAATAATGATCATTAAATGGCACCAAATAAATTTGCCTTATTCGCTCTCTGTTAATCATTAGAGACAACTCTTTTTCATATTGTAATATTATATTTTTTACTGTTTATTACTTACAATTTGGCAGTATTATTTGACATATGGACCTAATTCTACTGCAGATGTTGGGACTATAGTTTCCTTTCTTAACTCTTCATCAACTTCACATTCACAATTGAATGACAGGCAAATAAGAACTCGAAACATTCTGACATTGTGTTGAAGAGTTTCCTTTCTTTCTGGTTTAGAGACAATATTTTGGATCATGTGCCGAATCCTTCATTAGAAAGAAGGTAGTAGCCCATAAGAAACTAGTAAGTTTATCAGCACACTTTCTGAAAATGTCTTTAAAAGAAGTCCTGATGTAACTTGTTGTGCCACTTTGTCTACATTACTAACATTGATTGCTCTGCATGGCCAGGTGGTTAGGGCGCTTGACTCGCAATCTGAGGGTCGCGGGTCAAATCCCTGTCCCACCAAACATGTTCGCCCTTTCAGCCGTGAAGGCGTTATAATGTTACGGTCAATCCAACTATTCGTTAGTACAAAAGTAGCCCAAGAGTTGGTGGTGGATGGTGATGACTAGCCGCCTTCCCTCTAATTTTTCACAGCTAAAATAAGGACGGCTACTGCAGATAGTTCTCGTGTAGCTTTTCGCGAAATTCAAACAAACCAAACTAACATTGATATACAATGCAAATTGAAATTTTTTGCCTTAAAATTTCGACTTTTTATCGCTTTTTTTTACAGCCTTTTCAAAATGACACTAAGTATAGCCCCCAGTGGCACAGCGGTACATCTGCGGGCTTTTACCGCTCGAAACCGGGTTTCGATATCTTTGGTGGGCACAGCACAGATAGTCCATTGTGTAGCTATGTGCTTAATTATAAACAAACAAACAAACAAACACTAAGTATAGAAACATGAAGGCAAAAACTCGTTTGTTTTGAATTGTTTGTTTCTTTGAAGTTAAGCACAAAACTACACAATAGGCTGTCTTTGCTCTGCCCACCACGAGTATCGAAACCCGGTTTCTAGCGTACTGTGTCCATACACATGCCGCTGTTACACTGGGGGGGGGCGAAAATCTCGTTTCTCGTGCCTTTTGGAATTTTTAGTATTGAGAGAGAGTCAATTATTCAATGACGTTCCCTCGCATGAATAAATTAATTAATAGCTATAAGTAAAAATGAATAGCTATAAGTAATAAACTAATTAATAGTTATATGTAATAAATTAATTAATAGCTATAAGTAATTAATTAATTAATAGCTATAAGTTTAGTTCCACATACTTTAAACCAGTAGCATACGTTATTTTCAGTTTAAGCTTCACTAATAAGGATTTATAGATTTCAGAAGTCCATTATTTTGGTTATTTTTATCACTGAAAGAAGTGTATTATTATTATTATTATTATTTCCTTTCCTTTCATCACTAGGGACCATCGTAAGCACAACAAAATATAATTATAATAATACTTCACGGACGAAACCAATACATTCACCTCAACTGTCACGAGAAAAAGTTATACAAATGTACATCTAAATTTATTTACATTACAAGCAAGCTGAGCTTAATTATTACTAGATGTATATGTTTTATTATTACTCCACTTGATAATTACAATATTTACTTGTTTATAACAGGTGCACTTCAAAGCAAAATAACTAAAGTTGAGCTGTGCTTAATTCTATATGCACATTATCAAAAATGTTTACAAAAACATTGGTTTAGAAATGCTTTAGATATCTCAATGATTTTAGACGCATACGACGAGATAAGTTACATTACCATTTAAATGAACCAAGTCAGGATTAATGTGACCACTAAAGAACTACTTTTTTTAACTATAGTTGGTCATTAATGTCACGTATTTATTTTAGAATAAACTTGTTTGGTAAACCAAAATGTCAAATGCTTTAGATAGCTTTAATAGATAAAGAAAATATTACAGCTTGTGTGTATAGAAAAAACCCCATTAGAAAAAGAATTTATAACATTAGATGAAGAATTACGAATAGATATGTGTCACATTCAGACAAGATGATAACGATTGTACTGCTAGATATATTGTGGCTGCTTTTGACAACGTTTATCCATTAATAAAACGTTGAAAAATGTAGATCATTAGAACTTAAGGGCCCGGTTTCCTATTTAGTTGAATGTTATCCCGTGTACAGTTAATTTATTTTATTCTAAAAAAAAAGAAAGAAAGGGTTTTAACTCAGACGACTGCATGACAAACAATCATGTTGAGAAACAAGTAAAGAAATGGATATAATGATTTGTAACTTAAGGTACTGTAGATACTGGCAGCACAGGTGGTGGAACGAACTTGAATTTTCGAGCACCTTATTTGCTATTTTAACCACGACCATTGAATTCAAAATTGAAACAGCGACTTTCCCACATAATTATATACGAGTCTCTAATACCCACTTCGCTATTGCGTCAATCGTTGGGGCACATGTCTCCAGTTTCCGTCAGATTTGCCACCTATAGACACTGGGTTCACTAAATTTTAGTTTATTATCAGAAAGAGACAGAAAAAAAACTAACTTTAAATTGAAACAAATGTCATTTCGATGGGACGTTAAATAGGCGGGGCTTCGATTTCAAAGAATTGTGTACAAAATTGTTTATTTGCAAAAAAAGTTAAGAATTTAATTTTCGCCTCCATATGTTACCTCAAGTACAACAACAAACAAATTAAGTGAAATGATGTCTAAAAGAACCTTTAATTTACTGAAGAAAAACGACTTACCTATAGTGCACAGCATCAAAAGGCCTGAAATAAATACATAATTTTATTAAAAACAAATTATGAATGCATTTTGGACATTCTATGATATATATACAAAGACGAAAAAGTTTAGAGTTTATTTTATATCACTATATTAAAACATTTTCTCGTTGTTGTGAACGATTTGAGCTAATAGTTTGAATTATTAGTATGCTTTTAAGCGTTTCATAGTGTATTAGTTCTTAGTTTTGTAGGAATATGTAAAATATCTTTGCAGCAGAGTTTCTTGAAAAAAAATCTGTGTATGAGAAATGTTATGTTAATCTGATTTTATATTAGTTTCTAGTGTTTACTGGTTTCACAATTAAACCTAACAGAATCTGCTGATGGTTGTTATTAACCGTTTTAATTAATTTGGAGTTTCAACTCTTGCATCTGGAGATGATCGTTAGTTCGATCGTTTAACATCCTCCGGTGGGACAGCAGTAAGTCGACGGATTTACAACGCTAAAATCAGGGGTTCGATTCCACTCGGAGGACACAATAGATAACCCGATATGGCTTTGCCATGAGAAAAACACACACATACTCGATCGTTTAAACGAGTATTTAAAAAATGTGTAAAAGCAAATTAATTTTATAAGGTAATTCAGGATCAGAATAATTCCCTTAAGTTTTTGTTCATCATTAACAGCAACAATATAAAAAGCAATAAATTGTATCTTATCAGAGAAACGAATACATTTATACGCTCTTATACTGACTGGCCACATTTACTGTAGTTGTTATTCCATAGCATTCTCTCGGTACAAGTTAGGTAATTTGTGATTCACTGTTCCCCTTTTCCCACACGAGATAAACGCTGATAGAGGAAATCATCAACTGGGAGAAATGTTCTCGTTGACACGCCATCAATCAAGGCTATTGTACCTTGCCACACTACATTAACTTATCAAATCACACTTTCCACTCATCCGATCTAAATGCGTTCTTTTTTTCTTTTTTTTTTTCATACGTCTAAAACCTTATATTGGCATAACCTCACTTCTGATCATGTAATGTTAAAGTTTCGGGGTGATGCGCGTTTTGCTTTAACAATTAGGGAGCAGCACAGGCGGGTAGTAGTCTTTGCTATTTTCAACTTAACACGTTTTATCGAAATTGAGCATTTACGCTCCTATGTTGAAATCTAAAACCGCCGTTATCTAATTCCTTTTAAAAATTTCTCTGCGGCGTGCTTCGGCCTCATCAACTCGCTCGTGGTTTTTATCACGAGTTCCTTGATGACTTCGTCAAACGTGACTGTGGCGAGTGAACAAAGCGAACATGATAAAATGAGAACTCCTTTTTAAAGGAAAGTAATATATCTCTGAGACCCCTGTTCTAAAACATTTTGGAAGTGAAATGCTTTTCTTTGGATACTTCTGGTAAATATATTTTGAAATGACAAAATTTTGTCGCTTTGTAATGCCGTTACAACCAAATACAACATCTATTGACCTATATACAGATTGTGGCAATCATTATTTGCTAAGATCTGTCATGACGTTTGTGTATTATAAATAAAGGGGTTATAAGTCCCACCATGTTCTATTCGAATGGTATCGTCATATTATAGCGACTACGGCCTTATAGATTACAACTGAAATATCTATACAAAAAATAGGTACATTATATACTGTTTACTAACTTAGTAGGAAACCTTGATACGTGATAAACACAAAAATAGGAATAATATGAGTGAAGTAATCTATACATGAAAGAACATTTATACTATAGCGATTTTTGACTGTTTCAAATAAACCTCCTTCAATATACATTCATGTACGTGTGTGTGAGTAACAGCTTTTCAGACAACTGTACATAAAAAAGTGTTCCTTCTAAAAGACGGGAAATATAATTAGGGCACGACCTACAATGTGAGAAGGGTAAAATATACGTCAGTGAGAGAGATAGATATCTATAAAAGTGGGAACCGTATAGCGGTAGTGATACACCGTCTGTAAGATTTAAATTTCAAATTGCAAGCTCACTTACATGTGTAAAAGGAAAAAAAAAAGAGCAGATAAGAGTGATTAAGCCTACAATGTCCTATAACTAAAACTATAATTTACTATTTGCAGCCAGTAGTGAGAAGGTTCATGCGCACAATGAAGCAAAATTAAAACAGATGTCTACAGTCGATACCACTGAGGTCGTTAGGTACAGATCATCTCTTAAATTTGGTATATCACAATAGTTACGTGCTTATACGAAAAGTATGGAAAAACCTAAGATGTCTTGATTAAACGCCCCCCAGTAGCACAGCGGTATGTCTGCAGACTTACAACGCTAGAATTCGGGTTTCGATACTCGTAGTGGGCAGAGCACAGATACCCCATTGTGTAGCTTTGTGCTCAATTACAAACAAACTTGATTAAACATTATTACTATTATTAGATAAATGAAAAATTGCATTTTCCCTTCAAATTAAAAGACAAATAAACGTAGCAGTAAAAATCTAACCCAGTCATCCATTCTGAACATTATACTGATAAAGAGAACGCTCAATTGAATAAATTAATTTAAACACCCACACATTCTAGCTATCACACATGTGATAGTTACAAAATATAACCTCGAAACACGTGATTTATTGCCGCCAAAACAAGCATTGTGCAATTTATGTAATCTATATTTCAACTTTTTTTTTTTTAATGTAACAAATTTTGACGGTATTATATAAAGCTTCTTTGATGATTCGTATTCTTAAATTTGAGAAACATTTAATGATATATATTATTGAATATTTGAAACATAACTTTGGTAAACTGTATTGCTGAAAATCATTATACTTTAGTTTTATAACTAAAATATTAACGTTAAAAATATCTGGAAATAGCAGATACTAAAAAGTCTGATAGAAAAATTCATATGTATGTAAATATAAGAAATGGTTCGGTTAAAAAATATATTGTTGATGACCAACAAAATGTTTCTCCGAAGTTCCTCCAAACACCTAATGATGACAATCATTCATCCTGGTGCAAAAATGTGACTCAGATTAAGCAGAATTTGTAATAACATAGCGCATGTTCTTCTGATGTATATATGTTGCTCGAGCCCCCCCAGTAGCACAGCGGTATGTCTGCGGACTTACAACGCTAGAAAACGGGGTTCGATACCCGTGGTGGGCAGAGCACAGATAGCCCTTGTGTAGCTTTGTGCATAATTAAAAACAAACAAACAAATGTTGCTCGAGCGCAAGGAAAACTTCAGGACTGAGAGTAGATCTTACGTTCTGAAATCGGTACCATTTAAAGGTCACTAAAATGTATTCATGATATGCGTATAAAAATTTAATCTGTACAAACAAAAACTGCTTTGATATTTACTTAAATTTGACCATTATAAATTAAACATTTCTGATTTTAATTGAAACACTTAATCTGTAGTAGTAATAATAACTTCCGATCAGGGTAAGCTACGTACTCAGAGCAAAATTGAAAGTTAACCTGACTAAAGATATAGCTAATTCAAACACTTCATCTATGATATATAGTAATAACTTCCGATCAGGGTAAGCTATGTACTTAGACCAAAATTAAAGTTAATCTGGCTAATAATATAGCTAATTGAAACACTTCATCTATAGTAAATAGTAATAACTTCCGATCAGGGTAAAATGAGTACTTAGAGCAAAACTGAGAGTTAACCTGGCTAAAGATATAGCTAATTGAGTATATTTTTCTAACGCATCCACTTGTAAAGATTAGAATGCCTTAAACTGTAGCTTATAGTGATGTACGATAGTCACTGTCTTCATATTTTTTGTCGGGAATCAGTGCCCACCGGATTAGCCCCTGTGAAAGACTACTCCAGTTAGTTTACAAAAAGCGAATTGTGTGGCTCACGTTGTCATCGTGACTGGTTCTGCTCACAGGGTGAAATGATTAGTTGCTATGGTGGTGTTGATGAGGAATGCTTACCTTTGTTTTCAGTCTCATAGCTTTACTTCGCAAAGAAGAGAATCAACACATAATTTACTTCGCATTTCTATTTGCCAGATACCAGATGTGACTGTGTTCATTAGGTTATTTAGTTAAATGTTAATCTAGTTTGAACACAATGCAGCCATATTGATGCCTTCTTAATGTTAATTATCTGTCTAACTATCTATATATCTGTCTGTGACGACAAAGTATCAAAGTTTTATATTTACTTCTGCTTAATAAATTGTAGTCTCCAGTAAAAAAATAAAACAACCATTTATTATCGCTTAGATTTGTTTCGACTCACTTCTAAATCCTATAATGTGGTCCCATCACTGAACATGCTCGCCCTTCCGGCCGTGGGGGCGTTATGATGTCATGGTTAATTCTATTATTCGTTGGTAAAGAGTAGCTCAAGAATTAGAGGAGGATAGTGTTAACTATCTGCCTTCCCTTTAGTCTATAATTTAAGAACTGGGGACGACTAGCACAGATATTTCGCAAGTAGCTTTGCGTGAAATTCAACAAAACAAACGAGCTTGTATGATGGAGAAGTTATCACTAAGCTAAGAATAACTACTCCAAGGAGAAAATATTAAAATGTGTTAGATTATTCTTGTTCTTCTGACGTTATTTACAGTTGGATTCTTTTTTGGTCTTACAAGTGAAGTTGAAACCTTACCATGTTTATCAAATAACACGAAATCAATTTGCGTATTTACTTTAATGTATTAATCAATTTAAAACAATATATTATTACAAAGCTTATTAGTATCTGAAAACTCTAGGTGCATTAGAAAAATTCATTTTCACTTAATCCGAGAAATATAAACAAATTTGACGTCGAACATATCTTTGAATGAACAATGGGCTATCTGTGCTCTGCCCACCACGGGTATCGAAACCCGGATTTTAATGAACATTGAAGTTTCATCTTTAATATCAGTGTGATAAATATAAAATGTAATTCCCAAGAAAACTAAACTAGTTTTATATAATAAATTTGAACACTTGAAACTAACACATCACATCTTCCAGCAGGCACGTATGAACTGGTTCTGAAAGTTATATTCA